CACCACCTGTTTGTGCAGAACAACTGCAAACCGTTACCCAGTTTTGCGGTTGTAAATCAAGTTGCCAATCAGGTCTGCTGTTCGATCGCACGCCACCAAATGCAGTGTTTGTAAACTCGGGAATGTCCTTCTCACATTCAAATACGAGCCATACGCCGCGCGCAAAATTTCCGTCCCATTTTCGACGCAATGACCTCTCCTTGCTATCCCACAATGACGCAGGTACACTAAGAACTTGCAGTTTCCCCTTGTATGGTGCAAAATGCTTATCTGCATCGATCTAGCCAACCCCAGTGTCTTGTCTAATCGCCTCGAAGCCCCAAAGCGACGACATCGATCACGACGTTGCGCGACTCAGCGAGCCGGTGACAGCACCATGCAACATTTGTCTGCTCGACCGACCCGTCGAGCGTGCCTACCAGTGCCCGCACTGCGACGCTAAAGTCTGCTACGACTGCTTTCACGCGTACTTGACGCACCAGATCGACAACGGCAACATTGCACCACATCAGCTCGTGTGTCCGGGCGACTGCCGGCAACCCGTGCCGCGCCACGTTCTGGCGCGCGTCTTGTCGGCGAGTCATCTTCAAAAATACGTTCGCTTTCTCGAAGCGTACGAGCTCCGGCAGCGCGGCCGTCGGTACTGCCCGCGACCGCAGTGCGGCCAGCTGCTTCCGACATCAGCCTCGCGCAAGAACAAGAACAAGCGCCGCGTCGACTGCCCGAGTTGCCAGAAGTCGTCGTGCCGCGACTGTGGCGGCGACTACCATCGGTGGTCACGCTGTGACCACGCGTACCGGGTGTGGTGCGAGAAGCACGGCGCGCAGCGCTGTCCACACTGCTCGATCATGATTGAAAAGGTGAATGGCTGCCCCCGCATGGAGTGCGCGCGCTGTGGCTTTGAGTTTTGCTGGCAGTGCCGCGTGGCCTTGGACGATCACAACGCCGCGCTGTGCCCGCTGCGCTCGATGGCACGCTCCGAGCACCGGTATTTTGGCCCCGTGTCGCCCGTCCGGTTTGTGACCAAGACGGTGGCGGGTGTTGCGGGTGCGTGCGTCGTTGTAGTCGTCGTCACGATCGCGGTGCCGCCAGTCGCCATCCTTTACGCCTATTGCCAAATCCGTTATGGTCATGGGTTCCCCTTGTTTGGCACATGAAAATAGCTTAATCTCTAGGAATGTTGTAATGTCTGAAATGCGGTTTATCAGAGGTCTTGTCTCTAACAAACAGTTTACGTTATGATGATAACTTTTGCTGTTTTTCAAAATCAAGAGTCTGTGTCTTTGTGCCTGCCGGGGTGATACCACGAGCAGCGCCAGAGAGTGCCTACGTGCCGCTCATGGTCGCTTCGGAAATTGCATCTACTAAGCCTATTTGACCATTTGAACCAGCCCCGATAGCATTGTACGGCTCCATTATCGTGGGTGTTGGTACGAGCCAGAGTTTGCTTCGTCGCTTGCGATGGAGCATTCAACTCGCAATACCATGCGCGTGGCGTTTCGTGGTACACTTCCCGGCGCAGCACGGAAGTTGAATGTTTGCCGTCCAGATAGACGCTATAAGTAGACAGGAGGCTAGATTGTCATTTTCATGTAAAGTTGATAGACGCGACAAGTAGACAGGAGGCTAGATTGTCGTTTTTCATCTTAAGTTGGTGCTTCTAGCCCGCTATGCCGCTTCCAAATGGCTACAACTGTAGCGGTTAATCGAATCGGCTAATGTATTGCGCCACTCGAGCGTCGTATATACCGGTAGATAGATAGATAGATAGATAGATAGATAGATAGATAGATAGATAGATAGATAGATAGATAGATAGATAGATAGATAGATATATAGATA